TTAATCATACGAAGCCAGATTAAATTAAATAACGACTTCTCCAACCTTATACTTTTCTCCAGAGTGCCGTGGTTCATTGTTTATTAATGTGTTTCAGCGGCATTTACCGACCGCTGCAGTGCTGCTGCTCTTCCACGAGTGTATTCTCCCGTTAGCTCCGGGTTAGCTCACACGGCTCTAAAGTATTCACTGTCTGACTGTCACACAAGCAGCTGATACATATCCCCAGTTCCCTTTAAGTGAATGTGTGTCAGTCTGAATTGACGCTGTTTGGCATCACAACGCTGTTATGAAAGTTTCTCTGGTATAACATGGGTGATGTTAGCATAGCAACCGAAGCTAAACTGACTACTTGCTAAGCCGTTTTCTCCAGGCACTTTTTACCGACGTATTTTTCATTATGATTCTACTTGTGATAGTCGGACATGACAACCTGTGCAGCCCATGTATTGATTCCATCCGATAGCTGCTATAATAACAAACAAAACGTCTGCCTGCTCTCCACAATGATCAATAACAGCGAACGGATGGTCAAAGTAAGGTACAAATAAACAGAATCACACGAAGCCTGGTTAGTGTTGCCTGACTTTATAAAGTGTGTTTTTTTTTAACAAGTGTGTGGTTGCGTTCTAGTCACTTTGCTCAGCACTACTGCTTGTTACAACTTTTATTTGCCGTACTCGCCTTAACTGTTAGCTCAGGTTAATCTCGCCCCCCTCCGACGTAAGCGTGACGTATGCGGTTCTTGCTTCTAGACGGACAACTTTTGGTGCTCGAAACGAACCGGATTCCGGAGCTTAGAGGCTGCTCCGCTGCGGTGTGAACAGGAAAACCCGGTGCTTTTCAAGCACCAGCACCGAACCGGCCCCGAAACACCGTTGGTGTGAATGGGGTAAGTGTCAAAGTAAAGTGCCAACTGGGCCAATCTAACGTGCCTGCCTGGATTTAATTTACTTATGGAGCCTCTTAATAGAGTGGTGCAGGAATGAGGCCTAAAACCCTGAAATGAGGCACCACTTCCAGGAATAGTTCCGATAGTTCATGGGATTTTGCGTTCACACCAAAAAGATCTGGAACTAGAACTTTTTTTTGCGAACCTTTTCACCCCTTTTTTGTCCCTGCTAGAGAGCAGGGACTTTCCTGGGGAGAAAAAGGTTCCAATTTCTGATTGGCTGGGCGAATTGCAAACCACGCCCCGTAAAACTCGGAAAAGTTTTGTGAAGCCGCCATTGTATTTGCTGGCATTAGCATTATTAGCATTAGCCCAGCGCACCAACGGAGAGAGACTAACTTATGGCAACACAAAAAAAAACATGGGAGCGGTGTAGTGATGAGGAGGTGTTGGCGTTCTGGCAATTTACTCGCAAGGCTTCACCAACTCCGGGGACTTCCGGCCGGGGACTTCGGGTGGAAGTATACGCCGTGAAGTTGTTTGCGGCCTGCCAGTAAACCCAAAGCAGAAGAAGTGACGTCAGCGGCTTCATTTGCCTAATGCTCCCTCAGGGACTTATTCCGGTGTGAACGCGATCTGCTCTTTAGTTCCGGGATCTAAAGAGTTCTGATGAACTAAGTACTGGGAACTAAGTACGGCAAAGTACTTGGTGTGAAAGCGCCTAATGTCATCAATTCTTTTGAATTTTGTTTTGGTTAGAAGTCTAAAATAATTTTTGGTTTAAACAAGTTGAAGACATTTTCACGTTTTGTACTACGACATAAAATACGTCACTCATGAATGACAGAAGCTTCCATGTTTCATAAAAACTGCGGTTGCTAACAACGGAGGTCCGACGTGATGACGTTTAGAAATGTCATATAGTCCTATATGACATTTCGAAACGTCATTGCGTTGAACATTAGCCGCCTTTAGCTTAGCGATGGTGATATGTAGCCATGAAACTGTGATGTAGTTTGTTTACAGCCTAACTTTTGCTAAATTGTTAAGTGGTTTTAATTAGTGGACATTGTCTTGCTGAACAAAACGAATATCAAAAACACGTGTTTGACGCAGAACTTATGCTATATTCTGAAATCTAATTAAATTTGCCATTGCTTTTTTGCGACTCTTAACAGCACCACTCCATCTCCCTAGTTAGTTATACTATGCGTTCCTTAACCTGTTACGCACCGCCCCCCCGGTACCGGGCGGATAAACGCGTAATTTGCAGGAAACAACGTCTAAGGAATCTTAATATTTAATAAACTATGAATGTTTTATATCCATGTAACGGGAAGAAACTCAGCTAACTGATCTTTTAAAAAAATGTGTCGAATAATCGATTAATATTCGCCAGGGCTGTCCGATTTTCGATTTTGATCATGGTCAGTTTCTGGCATCCCTAGCAGGCGGCGGTAGTGTGTATTCGTCATTCAAAAGAGGCAACAACCGGAAGACAGACTGCGTGATACACCGAGAGAAGAAGAACAGACTGTGTGATATAAACAAACAACAAATAGCGTGTGCGTTCCATTTTCACTCTACAGCGAGAAGCTCATGGGGCTTTCCCGAACCTGTGTCGAGAGCTGGAGTTAAATGAAATCTCAGATTTGCTTTCTTAATAGTTTGTTTGGGTCCCTCACTTCCGTTTCGCTTCTCATGCACTGATTCGCTAAGCTGAACAGCCAATCAGAGTGATTTCTTTAGCCGACAGCCTTTTACCGACAGCCTACCGATTCAACATGTTGAATCGGTGGCGGAAGGTGTCGGCACCGCCGAAAAGACACGACGGGGCGGGACACACCAATCTGAGTAGGGCGACAGGACGCTCATCGACGGCTAGACATCTATCGACGGCCGAAATCGGCTTGGTGTGTAAGGACCTTATGGCGCATTTCCACTGCAGGGCCTCGCACGGCTTAGTACGGTATAGTAAGTAAGTAAGTAAAACTTTATTTATATAGCACCCTTCTCAGCACGGATGTACAAAGTGCTTTACAGTACAGTACACAATTCACAGTACAACTAAAATGTAGAATAAAAGGCCTTGGTAGGCCAGGCTCACTTTATGCTGCGTTTCCATTACAGTTAAGGAACTGGGGTAGTAACTATAGTAACGCAGTGTCGGCGGAGCCGTGACGTCATCTTCAATGCGAAACACAAAACCAACATCAGCTGTTAGCCCTCAGAGCTCACAGCTCCTCATATCTGCTCAGAAACTAGACAAAAGTTAAACAAGTACAAACCACAGACTCTGTGTCATGGCGAATACAGTCGCTGGTTTATTTATGTCTGTATAGGCCGTTGTTGTGAGTGTGGACGGTCGGAGCATATACAACTTTAGCTTAGCCAATCTCCATTCAGAAAACACGCATTTTAAAAGGTTTTTCGCCTGCCGTCTTGTCTGCAGACTTGTCAAAGCATTAATTCATGGTTTTTACTAACCGGTATCAGTACGTTGTTACTTCGGCATCATTTTGAAACGTGTATTACAATTAAATCACGGTAAAATATGTTCATTTTGTTGTAGTTGCCAGCGATTCTCTCGCTAGTTTAGCATACTCAGCCCAGTTGTTGGCCCGGAAAGAACCTCGATTTTGGAGAGCCAGAAAACTGAAAAAGTACCCGCTAGCCGGAACTACGCCTAGTGGAAACGCAACCAAAAACGGGCCGGGCACGGCACGCTTAAACCGCGCTCCGCGCTGTAGTGGAAATGCGCCATTATATGAAATGAACTCATTGCAGGTAATGAATACATATTGGTGTGGCATGCCCACTCTCAGCTCTTGGGTGGTGCTGTATACTATGTCACATCTTTCCCTGCTCGAGTGGTTACTGGTGAAGGCAGATAAAGGAAACACATGTATTTCATATTTCACGTTAAATCTAAGAGATAACTATCTGCTTACAAGCCTCATTCCTGTCATGCCACTGACGTGTTCTCCAGCAAGACCTCGGCAACCCTAAACACTCAAGCTTCTCTCTGGCCACACCCAACTACTTCTGTTCTCTTTGTGGGAACATTATCAGTGCAATAGGACTGTTAGAGAGGGGAGCAGCTGAAAGGACGAGTAAAAGGAATCAAGGTCAGGAAATAGCACTTCTCAGCATTATGCAATCACCACTCTAACACCGCCTCAGTATGCAGCCTTAATAATCACCACAGAATTGAATCGCAGTCTAACCAAAAATGGGACATTATAGGCTTCACAAAGTCAGTGTTGATTGCAAGGTTTTTGCAGCGTATTGCTTTACATTACACAAGGCCATCTGCTGTGAATATCCACAGTGATCATGGTTTAATAGTTTGCTGTGGTCTCCGTCTGTCCTCCTCACACTGAAGAGGTGAACCATTGTTCACGTTTCTCAATGAGTGTCAGTCACATGGTTAGACCATTCAGTCCCCATGTACTGCTGGCTGACGCTGCATGGAGATTATATTACATTTTGATGAGTTAGGTTCAGAAGTATCTCTAAGCCCCCAAGTCACCCAAGTAAGTGACAAATGCATTGAAATCAGCCTGTTTAGCGTGTCTCACAATAAATCATTTTTCATTTTCTTCCTCTTTTCCAAAGCTTATTTTTTAAGACTTTATAATCTGCATTGTTTCCACATGGTTCCCCTATCACAGCCCTCATCTTCCATGCCTTTTGCAGCAATATTGTTACTTGTATTAACACATTATCATCAAAAACTATCAATGAATGAAATGGTATGAGAGGATCAATGAAGATCTGCTACATATTTTCTCAATTGAAAAACGTTTTGGCAAAAAAAAGGTCTGGATTTTGGTGGAAAAAGCCAAATTATATATTTTAAAAGTGTACGACGATGCTCCATAGCATCCACTTGCATTTGGAGATCAGGAGAAAGCTTTACTGTTTTGAATATTCTTTTAATGTACAGGTCTTGTACAGTCACATTGCACAGAAACCCTGAAACATGTGTTTTGGAAACATGACCTCGGACATTAGTATGCAACAGATGTCCCACGTGTTAACCGAAATAGTTTGAATGTCTCTTATCCTATCAAGCCTCTAACGGTCCACTTTCTTGTTGCTGCAGGTTCTGAGCCCATGGTACAAGGCCCTGACTGAACATACTGGTGGGGCATACAGACCTACTACTGTGGTGAGTGATCCCTCTGTCAAATATAAACCTGCCTATTCACAGCCTATAGACACCAACAGTTAGCTTGATGTTTGTTTCTAAAGTTTGTTGTTCGCTCTTAGAAACAATTCTGATATGTCCCTTAAATCTCTCTCTCCATCTAGATGACATTAGACTTTTGAAAAATTGCCTTTGTTATGTTATTTGCGAGGTGCTTATTTGTTACTTTGTCACACATTACTCCTTAAGTGCCAGAATCTTTTGAAACATGTTGCTTGATTTATTGATGGTTTTTGTTTCATTTGCATGTTGTTTTGTGGAAAATAGAGAAGAAAGAAGTCTTTGTTATAAAACGATTCAGCCCACAGTATTGATTCACTTCAGCTTGTATGCTGCTCCTCTTCCAGTGTGTGCCCCCATTCGGAAAACACACCACACACATATTTTAGACATTTCTCTAGTGTGTCCAAAAGAAAGCGTAACATTTGTCCCTGCTTAACCCTGATGCTCGATGCCTCTTCAGTCCAGAGAGCAGATGAATCAATATGCAGAAAGTAAAATTACATTAGAGTTTTAAATTGCGATTGTTATGTTATTTATGAGGTGCTTCTTTGATGTCCTGGGCAGTCGATGGCTTACACGTACAAGGTTTCCTTTTAGCTTATACCATGTATAAATCAATGAAAAACCTATACATGAATATTTGGTATTGCAGATATGATTTCATGCTGGATATTCAAAAGAATGCACATGGATGGTTCTCAGAATGTTGAAAACATCGACATACAATGCATTTCAGTACTGATGTTTTACCAAGAACAGAAGACGAAAAGAAGCACGTTTTCAAACCTGTGGTAGATTTGCTATGATCCATATTGATGGTTGAGTTGGTAAAGTTGTTGTTTTAATGTTGGTGTGGTTTGTTTTATGAGGTATATATACAATAACGTTGAATATTGCAATAACGGAATCATTTGCGATACATTAGCAAGTATTTGTATATGCTTAGCTCTGCTTTTCTGTTGCTTTCAGTCTTTTGCCATGTTTTTATCACACAAGTTGAAATTGCGATTCAAATTTAAAAAGGAAATGTCATGCATATTATGTGTATTATGTAGGCCTGTCACGATAATTAATTTTGTTGTACGATACATTTTCCCGGAAATTATTGCGATAAACGATAATATTGTCGGCACCGTTGTAAGACCATTTTAGACCACTGATATAATGATAATATATAATAATAATTCAAGTACTTCCTTTCAAACTGAACTTTTTATTGAACATTCAACATTGCAAATGAAATGTGAAATAATATTCAAATATATAAATTATATATAATAAATAAAACAAATTAATTAAATTATAAAATATTTATTAAATCACACACAACCAAAACAATAAATTAAATAGACTCAGGCTGGAAAACAGAGCTCTATCTATCTATCTATCTATCTATCTATCTATCTATCTATCTATCTATCTATCTATCTATCTATCTATCTATCTATCTATCTATCTATCTATCTATCTATCTATCTATATATCTATATATATATATATATATATATATATATATATATATCTATATATATATAAATATATATATATATATATATATATAAATATGAGCACACATTGTCTCACAAGCAAAAAAAACCCTCCTTAAAACAACAGTCAAGTGTACAGTCCACCGTCCATACAAAGACCCAGATGCCTCAACAGGCCATATCCAAATCTGTATTTCAAAGATTTCGAGCAAGGAACACCAACATGTTTGCATTGTTGGGCAAATGCATCTTTGATTGTAAACTGTCGGGAAGGTGGGGGCTCTCCATCTCCAGCTGCCATGTTTGCTCCCAGCTGGGAAAACGGAATGGGGTGGTTGTGTTTCTAAAAGGTTGGCCGTATTGCTAGCTTTTGTTGCTACCTTTTTAAAACAAATCCTACATAACAGCTCATTCAAGTCCGTAGGTTCGCCTCGTTGATTTGGCTTAAATCCAAAATATTCCCACACCGGAGATGTGGAATTAGGTTTCGCTACCAATTCCATTTAACTTCAAATTCCCCTCGAGTAAGTTACACGTTGTCTCCTGCTTGTCTCTATATTATTAATTTGGCTGCTACGCTGTTGCACGCAGTGTGTCCTGACCTGGCTGTGTGTGAGCCCCGCCCCTCACAGCGCCGGGCCGGCAGACACAGCGCACCTGGCTAAAATGCTGGTCACATCCTTATGTAAACAAACACGCATGTAAACGGCAATTTATCGAGGTCAGAAAAGTTATCGAGTTCATTTTTATTTATCGTACGATAAGTCAATTAATTGCTTATCGCGACAGGCCTAGTATTATGCACAAGGATGTAAACAGGAACATGGTTCTCTACTGCTTCTCCAGTCAGACACGTTTATTCCCTGTTAGCTGCTAGCAGCTGTTGATCCCAGTACGTAGACTGCACCTGGCTAATTGGTAGAATACGCCACACAGTTGGTTCAGATCAAGGTTAGAATCTCTTTAACACAAAAGCGTCATTGTTAGTGCCATTCGAACCAAATTTCCCATTAACCCCGTTGCTTCCTGTATCCCCATCCTCTCCCTACAAACATGTTTGAAGTTTATTTTTTGCTTTTGTACCCGTCCATGATTGGGAGAAAGTTTGAAAGCCGCAGTTTGATTCTCATTAGAAGAGCAGCGCACACTTCCTGTTTTCAACCGTTAAAGGATCCAGCAGACTTCCTGTGAACTCTGCACAGCAGTTCACAGTGTACAATGCAGGAAAGCCCCCACAGAAGCTACCAGTCTCCATGGCGATGCTCATGTTTATTTACACTTGGACAGCCAAGGTCTTTCTGTCTGACTTAGTGACATTGTTCACTTAGTTTTCTGGTTGAAGCAAGATATTTTTCTGTGACACCGACGCTGCTGCTCCCCCCCATTTGGCAGCAGGCTTTGTTAATGTCAGCCATATGGAAGGCTTTGTTCTCCTCACTGTACAGTCTCAGCTCTGCTTTGTTTATTTTATTCATGATGCTTAAAGTCAGCGCTGTGTTCTCAGTCACCCGGTGTGTACTTCACATGAATAGCCTATAAGCACTAGTGCACCGTTCTCACTTTCATAACAGAAGAGAAACCAAGAATGAAGTAATGTCTGCATAAAAAACGGGAAATGAATACTGAACTATTTGGAGTGATTTTTCATTGCGGTCATCTTTCTGATACTATGACTATTTGATAGACCATTTAAGCATCTTTATTCTCATTTTCATTGAAAAATATTTCTAAATGATCATGATGAAATGTTTTTGTACCAACGATTTTCTGTATGGTAATATGCAGAATCTGGATTTGTAGGCTTGATCTCTGCATAGCCACAATACATTATTAAGTATGGTATTCTGAAAAATAAGTTGCCTTTTACAAATGCAGTTTTGATATGTCAATCATTCACGGTGCACTTTTGATAACATTCTAAAGAATTCTGGTTTTACAAGAATGAATGATCATTTGTGATAATAATCTTTAACACACAGATAGACAAAAGGGAACAAGTGATGTCAAAGGGGATTATTGGTCTGTTGGTGTGTGATTTTATTCTAAATAGTTGTTTGTGTGTTATTGTTCTGTGAATGGAACGTAGTCCGCTTGCTTGCTTTTGCAGTATCTTCAAACGGAATTTAAATCAGAGGTCTTTAGGGTAGGAATTCAAGATGAACAACAAACCAGTTTGTTTGTGCCCTGCAGAAACCTTTCCCCCCAACAACTCACACTGACTCATTCTATTATCTTACACATGTTAAATGATTTTCATGACCTTGGGAGCAAGACAAAATGACACAAATGACTACACTTTCCTGCTGGTTGCAGAGTATCACATTTCTCTTGAAATGCAGGAATCTTTAGAAACATGTTGCCTGATTTTAGGATGGCTTTTGTTTTTGATTCATGTTGATGTGTGGAAAATAGAGAAGAAAGAAGTCTTTGTTTGAAAACGATTCAGCCCACAGTATTGATTCACTTCAGCTTGTATGCTACACCTCTTCCTTTGTAGCCCCCATTCGGAAAACACATCACAAATATTTGAGACATTTCTCTAGTGTGTCCAAAAGAAAGCTTAACATTTGTCCCTGCTTAACCCTGATGCTTGAAGCCTCTTCAGTCCCCAAAAGCAGACGAATCAGAGGAATGAAGTGAAGATATTTAAATATAGACCAGACATGAGTGACAAAGCATGCGTTACCATTTTCTATGGCTCCATTTTCATTTATCTACATTTCAGATTTCCAGAAATATGGCAAACACTTACTGTCAGGCTCTACTTTTAAATGCATTCCTTAATGTGTAATAAATAATCATATGTATCAGGTCCAAGAGACAAAGGCAAATGATAGAACAGATTAGAACTATACCATCCTTTTGAGTTATTAAAATCACATTACTTTATTTTAATGCAGCTTTTAAAACCAGGTAAAGAAAACGTTATGACGTATTACAATATTACAATTATGATTGCTCAGCTCTAGTACACGGCACAGCACAAAGAAGATCGAGATATATAACGACTCACTAAGGCTAGCATTTTTCTAGCAAGTTAGCAGTTAGCTTTCCAGCTACATTGGTTAACTTAATAACCCTGTGAGTAGTCCCCACCACCCTTTTCTAGCCCATTCTTTAGAGAGATTTGTAGATCACCTTAGCTCAATTCCATACTAATCCATAACACTTGTGATCTTTATAAAGTTGTGTTTCTTATTTTCTCCTTCTTAGACCCAATTGAATAATACTGTTAATCAGGCAGAGCCGATCATGGGACTGCATTTTCAGTTGCTCTATCTGTACACCCCCCCCCCCCCCTCCAGTCACCAACTGAGCTCTGTTTTTATCAAGCATTCATTTTACAGATCTTGTACATGCCCCCCTTCTTTTTTTTTATACAAACACTGATTTAAGTAAGCAATATGTGGAGGGTGTGTGCTGTTCAGGTGATGGAGTACACCACATCTTATTCTAACCCCAGACTCCAGC